CAAGCTGAAGGGCTTCAAACGTCCAAACACACCTGAGCCCTTACTGTGTTCAGCTCCTTCTCCTGCTGGATGTAAACTGACCACAGGCTTCCAGTTGCGTGTTTCTAAGAAACGCAGCAGCTGCTGAAGCCAACTAACACTGAAGGCACAGTCGCTACGACCCTTCAGAGCACAGATGAAGCCCTGCAGGCCTGCGCTGGCCTGGCCATAGGTCCCACTGACCAGAGCCTGAAGCGTAGCTTCCAGCACAGCGCTCAGTGTCCTCCAGTTCTGAGATAAAAAAGTCAAGAGAGGCCTGAGGGGCTGATGCTCTGATAGAGTGATCAGACTCTGCAGCAGTCCCAGGAGCCAGTCCCAGTGAGGACTGCCCCTCAGGGATAAAAACCAGTCCTGCACTTTGACGCTGGGTCGGGGTGGCACCCGGCCGTTCCACTGGTTCAGTGCAGCACTCCCTTCAGACTGAAGAAAGAAATGCAGCACCTTCTCCCACAGCTGCTCCTCATCTGGCTCTGCCGGCGCCTCCTCTAGCTCAGCACCCATCTCTTGGAGGTACAGAGAGATGTTGTAGAGGAAGCCAGAGAGTCGGTGTCTGTCAATTGGCTTGTTTAGTGAAGGCAAGTTCTTGCTGGGAAGAAGACCAAGTGTTTTCAGGCTCCCCATGATATTCCTCACCCAAGGGTGGACAGATTGGTCCTTGTTTGTTTCTGGCGGAGCATTCAGAGGAGTCCAACCACCTCCTTTACTCCATTTTGAAATGATCTCCTTAAGAATGTCATCTCTGCGGTCCTCTTTACCACCTCCTGAAAGAGTCCCATTACAGATAGTTTGAGTCAGGATCATGTAATAAGCACGTGTTGTAACAAAACATACAGCTGTTGTATGTAATGACATGTTTTGGTGGCACACTCACCTGTCTTCTCAGGGGATCCTTGTCCCAGTAAAACAGCACAAACGATGATGCTTGTGAATCTAAGAGCGGCCATCCCTGGCCCTTTCTCTGCCATCTTCATCTCATGCCAACTTGCACAATGACACAGTGGTGTCACATCTTTCTCTCTGGGCTGCTTTTCCTATTGAATATCACAAAACCGTCTGTTTAAATGGATGCTGTTTTTTTTCCTTGGACTCAAGGAGTAAAGTATCTCACTTGAGAGGGGATATTAAACCTTAATGACTGACTGCCACATTACCTTACCAGTTTCACTGCATGGTTACTAAAACAAGTATCGGTAATGTAATTAACTTATAAAACTATTGAAAGTAGGTCCAAATGTGATGCTCAAAAGAGTGTCCAAAGAAAGACAATGAAGTAAGATATTCGAACACATAATTAAATACCCAGTTCTGATCCTTAAAGAGATTTAAGACAGTTTGACACATAGTAGATAATGACCGAAATGACTATAACCTATTTGTAAATTTTAAACATCAGTGATTACTCACCATAAGGAAAATCTGAGGAGAAACATTTTCTGTACTCACCAACAGTTACGATCCATTCATGTCTTTAAGTATCCTCTTAATCGTCTCTAACTTAGCGTTGTCAACACAGCTGACCTCTTTCCGAGTGCAACTCTCTGTTTCACCATCACTCTGACTTTCTCTACCTTTCACTCTCCCTCCGCACCCCTCCCACCTCTGTCCTCTATCTCTCACTCTCTGTTCTTTTAGCTGTTTGGAGCATTTGCTTTTTTTTTTTTGGCTCTGGGGTTTTGGGTGTTTCATGTTTCATGAGTTTTCTTGTCATCCTACAGCATGGTTGACTGTTTTATACGACAATGCACAGAAAGAAGGAGAGTGCAGTGTGATTGAGCTGACAAACAGTAAACACATCTCAGTCTTTTAGGTCACTGCTTATATTTGGATGTAAAATATATCAATATATCATTTTGTTTTCCCAGTTCATTATTTTGCACCTCCATGAGGCTACAGGAAGGTCACAGCACTCAGCTAGGTGCTCAAACAAGGTGAAAATCTGGATCATGTTAATCACACCCCTGATATCTATCCGATTCTCTAACTGTCCAATGTCTCCCACTGACTAATTCTCTATTGAGCTGTCTCTCAGCTGGGACTCATCTTGCGACCGGGTTTGTTGAGGGTGTAGTCTTACCGACGGGACCTGGCCAGCAGGACTGTGCAGGCTGTCACTGTTTAGACACATTTATCCCTCGGTCAGGCAGACTTACAATTGAGCCCTGTGCAAGGGCAAAGCAGCAGGCTCCCCAGAGTCAGACCACTGTCTGCAGGCCCTGAAACCCAAGAGGGCTGAGTGAAAGGACCACCTCCTCCCTCCACTTGCTTTAGCTGTATGATACTGCGGCCTGCACGGGGGACAATAACTTCCTCCTGTATTATTGATACCACAGGGAACAGTGATCACTCAGTGCAGCAGGGCTCGATTCACCACGGGAATATTCAATGAGAAACTGGATCCACCCCATACATTCCTCTTCTCTCTGCTGGAAACTCAGTCATGTCATGGGGGAAATCAGCTGGGGAAACTAGCTGTTCAGATTGGAATACTTGGTCCAAGGCCAACTTCTGTCCCCATCGTCCAATAGAAATCGAAAAGCATAAATACTTTACATTATCCAGATACCGAGTCTATCTTTGTATTGATTTACTAGCAGAATTTTTTTTTTTAAATTTCACTTGCTGTTTTAGTGTGAGCATGATTAATTTATTTCAATTTCATATGCAATATTTGTGAGTTTTTTTGTTTTTTGCCATAATTTGTGTGATGCTGAGAATGGCCTTTAGTTTTCTTGGTGTCAGGAGTGAGATGATAAAGGACTGTTGACAGACTGCCCACCAGAGGCTTTGCATAAGTTGTATCATGCCCTTGTAGCTGTAAATCCATCACTTCATTGTACAAATGGCCTAAATAGAACAGGATCACTGCATCAGCAAAATATTTAGCCAAACATATCGCAAAAATACTATGTCATAACAAGTCATAACAAAATATGACCTAACATTAATCTTATATTAACTGCTATAGTTGACAGTTAAGAGATCATGCATTGCTTTCCCCGCAGTAAAAACAGCTGATGCTCCAAATTAAGTGTAACCAGCCTTGGACTTCTCTAGGACAGAGAGAAGGAAGCTTTGCAGATGTTGAAGCCTCATTTTAAGAGCAGTGTGTGGTCCAGTCAGCTGCAAAAAAAAAAAAAACACAGCAAAGCTTGGTGTTAGTGGCTTACAGTTAATTAAGCAGCACTTCATTTTAATTTCTTCAAGTGTATATTTATAGACAAGAATGGGAGGTAGAAAAAAGTGGTGTGTGATTAAAAACTTGCAAGAAAAAAATGTCATTGTGAGGCTATAATTCAAAGCATTGTTGCTTGGTAGATATTAGATTCCAAGACTCAGGAGTAGGCCCAGATAACTGGTTAAAATAAGGGTAAGTTTGGGTCAGGTTCAGCATCATAAGACATGAGTGGTTGACACGAAACTCCACTTCCCCCAGAATTTATTCCCAACTAAAGGTGTCAAAAAAGAGGCAAGGTATTTCACTCCCTCAATGTACACATCTTTTTAAATGGATTAATGACCAGATCTATGAGACATGGGCGCAGGGGTCTAGCTGGTCGGGAGGCCCATTAGCCAGTGCATCTTTATGAAGTGACTGACGTTGATTTTATGAAGTTTATGAAGATACTTCACATTACTTGTTGGAAAGTAGTTAAGAGTTAGAAGTATGGATGTGCTCATCATGTTCTCCTGCTTCTAACCCCGTTTTGTTTATTTTCGACAATGTAAAACAGCTGCATGTTGTACATTAAAGCTACAATAACTATCTTTGCTTTAAGATAACACACCCCGCATCACAGGTTTCCACTGATCCCATGCATTATTTTTGGGCAGTGTCCTATAGTATTGTGTACAATATATGAGAGTGTGGTCTGGCAGGACATTTTGGGAAAGGTCCAGACAGCTTCTTTTTATCTCCAGCAATAACAAAATGCTGAAGGTGTAGTATGGGACTTACAGTACGGTTAACCTGCAAAAATGTTGCTGCTGCTGAGACTGAAAATGAGACAAATTATCTCACGATTTGTCCATGTCTCCATGCCAAAATTGTTTCTAGTGTTGGTTATGACTTTTCTTTAAGCTTTCATACCATTATGGCCCTTGGAGGAGGTATATGGACACAGTGTCACTTTAAAAATCTAAAAGAAACGGTAATAAAGTAAGAGCACAACACCTGCCCAGTCACTGAAATCAAATCCTTGACAAGGACAACAGAACTAGCATATATACACTGTTGCTCATAAAGTTGGAATAAAATATTTTTTTCCTTCTTCCATGAAATGATTGTGACAATGTGATTTATTTCATTTCACCTGGGTAATTGGGACACATAATGTAATCATTGCACCTGGTCAAAAGTGATTACTGATGCATTTAAATAGGAATAAACAGAGGATTGTGTCTGAAAACAAAACTATTCCAACTTTATGGGTGACAGTATATACATATATATAATACAGTGCTACATAACCAAAGTGGCTGCAAGGTGACCCCCAAGGACCAGTATACGTTGTTCGAATAGTAACCTGTGACCTCTACAGGACAAGCACTGCACTCATGTATTAAGATCTATCACTCCACTTAGCTCTTCCCCAGTCACTTGATGACTTATTGTTAACAGACCAAACCAGAGCAGCCAATATTCTGATTTTTCAGTTCAGTTCATTTAGATTTTCTGCACTTTACATCAGTCAAGATTAACAAGAATGTACTCAAATTTCCCTACAAAGTGGTTACATACTGACCTGAATGTAAGTTTCTGACATCTGTTGTACCATATAAAAATTAACTAATATGAGGGAAAATTGAATTTTAAGGCATAACAAAATAATAATAAAATAATAATGCAAAATGATGCCATAAAATAAAAAATAAATGTGAAAACTGTATGCACATTTGCAGAATAAATTTGAAAATGAATAAATAAAATTTATTTTCTGAAACAAACTAGTTCAAATGGACAAGAAAGCTGAAACAACAGATACTGTGTTTTCTACGAGGACTGTCAAAGGCAGAGCACAATTTTAAGGATTGATGTTTGTGGTGAAATGATTAGCCTAAAACATAAATAGAGGCGTTACAACTTTTTCCTGTGATTAACCCTCTAACTCTAACCCTAACCAACAGTTTCACATTAATCTTTTGTGTTATTGAACATCAACATTTGCATCAAAGAAAATATAATGTCAGATTCTAATTAGATAGTATATAGAGAAAGTGAGATTTGCTGTAAATGGTTCAGTCTTTTAATTCATTGCTTCTCATTTTAGGGCAAAGCCAAGATCAAAGTCCTGTCCCAGACTATTCCCAGCAAGACTGCTCTAAAAGGCACAAGGCACCTCCACTGGGACACCTAAAGCCCTTTGCTTTGCTTTGTAGGTCAGCAGCAGATCCTTATGCACCTGTCAGACACACAATTGTTTTACACAAGTAAGAATATCACTACAGAAGTAGTTTAAATGTCATCATTATTCAAACAAATGCAGAGATGAACTACTAACCTTGGAAATCTGAGCTTTTTTATACTGTAAGTTCTTGATGGATTTATTGCAGGAGTCAAGATTTTCCTGCAAGTAAAAACATGTTTCTTTCAGGTACAAACAGCATTGCAATATGTATAAAACATCATAAGACACCAACGATCAAGAATACAAATGACTACAGAGGAGAACTAAAGGGACACATACAACAGTACCTCAATTTTTTTTGTGACCCCACCAAGGGCAATTTGGTCCATGTTAGAGGCAGATAGCACCGAGTGGAGCTGAGCCTGTGTCTTCTCCAGGCTGTCTGTCAGGGCCTTCAGCTTCCTTTGCAGCTGCATGATCTGCAGATCTGCTTTATGCTGCACCTTCTCAATAGTCTGAGAGTATGTCTTGAACTGCTCGTCCTTTTCCAGTTGAAGCTGTGAGACACACAAACAGATGTAAAAACATTTAGCTAAAAGCCCACAAGTACACAAAGCATTAGGCTGACATTCAATGTGCATTTGAATCAAGCTACCATTTGAGCAACATGACACTTTGATAATAAAGGCTTAAAGTAAGGTTTAATTTCAAGTTTTTACCTTGCTGAATTTCTGTTCCAGGTCCTTATGTTCCAATTTTAGGTCATTCAGCTCCTTTTTTTTTACCCTTTCATTGATGTCCTGTCATAAAGTGCAGCAAATATAAGTGTACAAGTTGGAACTGTAAACTCAGTTTTTAAAAAAAAATTCACTGACACCAACACAACCTTTTTCATTCCATAGTATTTCATTTTTTTCTCATTTCCAGCAATTTGCTCCTTGACTTTCAAGAGACGCTCAGAGAGACATTTGCTATCCTGCGAAAGATGGGTCTGTTCCCTCTGGTTTTCCATCTGTTTTACCTCCATTTGTTGAATTTGTGTCTAAGAAAAGCAAATAAAACGCAGCATGTCAAGAAAGAGGTGCAACAATTAGTCGAAGGACAGAATATTTACTGTCGATGATTCTGAGTCATTTATCAAGAAAAACTCATTTATCGTTTTACAGCTTGTAAAATTTGAAAACTTATCAAAATTTCATGTTACTTTGGATCAGATTAATTAACAGTTGAGACAAGCTATTTAAAGACATTATCTTGGGCTCTGGAAAACTAAATGGGCTTTTTTTTTTACCACTATATAGACACAACCATTTATCAATTAATTGTAAAAAATAATCAACAGACTCATCAATAATGAAAAGATGCACGCCTAAACTAAACATATTTCTTCATGTTTATTCTGACAAGGACGCCGAATGCGTGCACTTACCTTGACTGACTCGCTTATTTTCAGATCTTCTTCCATGAGATTAACAAATGCAGAAGCATCCGTCAAAGCTTTGTTGTGGTCTTCTATAAGACCAGCGATGTGGCGGTTCCACTGATCCTCTCTTTCACTGGTCTCCTTTTGCCTCATTTTGTCCAGCTCTTGTTGCTGCAACTTCATCTTTTTCGCGTAATTGGATTTGATTTCTATTTAATAACAACACAAAATTATGTGACATTCGGTTTTTGACAGCACAGGGTGTTGAAATCAACTCAAAGTAAGATGAGTTATTTACCTGTGATATGCTTCTCCCAGTGGTTCCTTGTTTTAGTCATTTCTTCATCGTGTTTCTGTTGAGATCAAAACCAAACTGATGTTTGAAGCATATGTGTCAAGTTAAACAGAAATGCTGAATCCACAGATCTTTCAGTGTGTACAACAAACCAGTTCAAGCTCCTTGAAGATACTTTCATTGTCGAGCTTCTGCATGTCTACCATGATGGCCCTCATCTCCTTGCGAAGCTCAGCCTCTAATTGTTCTTGCTCATTCTGCAGCACCTCAGTGGAGACTAACCCTTCTTCTTTCAACTCAGAGATTGTATTCTGGTGTTCACACAGGAGGTGCTTCATCTTCTGCTTATACACCTAGTGGGGAGAAAAAATAGTCAAATGCGTAATTTTAGTTCAGCCAATTAATTGGTCCGTGGATAATCTTTCTTGCCTGTTATCATTTCAGAAAAATGTGGCAAAATATGGGTGAGTGTTCTCATGGAGGCCACTGGTTACTGGCTACTTTGCATAGGATTTTGCATTTCACCTGAGAAAAGCTTATAAAAGGATCGGTCTATCTCAACAATGCCTACCTTTCACAACAATAATTATAACAGCCTCTTTTTATGCAAGTAACAATATATTACAATGTAATTCAATAATATTCTAAAGCTGCAAGCAGCGTTGAGCGCCCCCTCGCACTCCTGCGCACCTCGGGGGGCTCGCAGCAGGCCAGTTAAAGCAGCAATGCATTGTAGCAACCACCGGACAACGCGCTCACAGGTTAAGATTTCCTGCTTGAACCATGTGGCGATGGACAACATGTATTGCATTTTCTTTGCATTCTTCATTGTGTCCACTATGTGAAGCCAGAGACCACGCAACTAGCACACATTATATTACTGTATATCAAGTGTAGAGCAGACAGTGAAAATGTCATGTACATCAAATGATGATTGGTCTGACACGTGTGCAAAGTTTCATGAGTTTTTGAACATGCTTAGGACCTCAGTAAGGCAAATTTATTTTAGAGAAGAAAAAAATCTGGCAAACGAATTAGAATAGAGTCCTCACACCAGTCGGCGCTCAGGCCCTAATGATGATAATACATTGAGCTCTGGTAAATTGTAAAGGTCATTTTCCAATATTTATTGACACTTTAAAAAGAAAAAAATATTGAGATCAATGAAAATAGAACTTTAACTAACAATTATTTTCATTCTTGATTAACCTGCAGATTACTTTCACAATCAAACAACCAAATAATTATTTGGTCTATAAAAAAGTGTTAAATTGTGAAAAATGTCTTGTTTTAGTTTCCTGTTTTTGATTTATTACTTCTATTCCTTGTATTTACTTTAAAGCACTTTGTAAATGAATTATTTGAAAGATAAAATACAATAAATGTTATACTTTGCGACTGCATTCAAGTTGCAAATTATTTCAACATTTCTCCTGTTCACTGCAAACCTTTAGAATTACAACTCAAACATAGTTTTAATTGTCTTGTTCCATGTTGAGTTTAATAAAATTAAATACATTAATTGAAATAATGAATCATATATTCATATTTTTATTTTGGCAGAGGTGCCTGGTTCTTCTTTGGGGAAAGTGGCTGTGTCTCTGTCCCCATCGTAAAGGTAAATTGCTGGCTCTATATCATCATTGCCGGTGGGGCTTGGGGGAGATGGGTCTTCATCACGGGCGTCACTAGTGGCTGGCTGACTGGAGGTCTTGGTATCAGCATCGCTGCCAGTGTTTGAATGACCGCAACAACATGTCACTGAATCATACTCCAGGTCATCTTCTGGCTCTTTACCATCTTCATCAATGGAAGACTCAATATCATCATACTTTCCATGAGAGCTCTGAATGTATGAGCATTTGTCACTATAACTCTCACTCTGTTCATTTATACCACTGGAATCCTCAGTGTCTCCATTGTAACCAGAAAAACTGTTAACAGTTCCAGTTAATGAAACTTTTCCAGTGGATGGCTCTTTGTGCAAGTCAGTCATGAGAGCAGTGTTTGAATGATCACAATCATATTTCACAGTCTGACTCTTCATAACCCCTGCCATTATCTGATTCATCAACATTTTGCAGAGTGGAAACAGTCATGAGCTGAAAGGCAGTCTGTATAGAGTCTGTATAGGTGCTGGTCTCAATTGTATCTACCAGGTGAACCATTGTTACAAAATGGTGTTTAAGGGCTTCCCCAGGAGTAATTCTGTCTTCAGTAGTTGGATGTAGGCTAAAAATGCCATCCTGTCTTGATACTCAAGATCATCCATTTTTGCTGGAAATTTCTTTACTGCATCCTCTAAATTACAGACCAAGTCAAAAACCCTCTTGAAAACTTTTAGTTTGACACCAGTTACTTCCTCATACTCCTCTGGTGTCCTTAGTCTCCACTTTTCATCCAGATCCAGGATAAAATACATCGAGCTGCATTTTCCAGCAGGCAGCTGGTGATCATCTGGCCGACCCAGCAGGTGCAACATATCTTTCATCCAGCGATATGAACAGGTCCCAGGGAAGAGGTTGATACCAAAGTACATGAATGCCATGACGCAGCCCACTCCCCACATATCAACAGATTCGGACAAAGGGAGGCCCAAGGTCACTTCTGGAGCCCTGTATGCACTGGCCTGCATGATCATTCCAACCTCCGCTTGGCTCGCTGGAAGGGCCAGACCAAAGTCGATCAGCTTGATCCTGAATGGCTGATCCTTGTGGTTGACGAGCATTATGTTGTCAGGTTTCAAGTCTGTGTACATGATCCCAATATTTTTCAGGGCTTCAAATGCAAACAGTGCCTTAAAAATGGGACCGCCTTGTTACCTGTTCTCACATATTCTGGATTAAAATACATACTTGAGTAAAACCAGCCCCTGAATTTGGGTGCAATTTGACTGAGTAGCCACAGTATATCTGTGAATTACCCTTACCTTGATCTCTACTTGATGGTGCCCCTCATCCTCTTCTATGTCCTTCTCTAGGTTTTGAAGTTCAGCCTTGACCACCTCTAGCTGTCTGTCAGTGATTTCCCAAAAGGTGTGGATATTGTCCCTCTCCGTCTGAAAATAGTTTCTCTCCTCTCTCTCTCTATCCAGCTCCTCTCGAAGACGCACAATGTACTCTTCGAGCTGAAATAAAGAAATATATTTCAACGTGGCCCTATCTGAGCCAGGCAATGGTCGTGTCCGGTAGCTTTTAATTAACAGCCAAATACTGTACAAATACTGTAGCTTATTGCCTCATTTTTATCCTTAAGGGCATGTAAAAAGTGAAGACACTGTTCACAGAGGGATCTACTCAGCCTGTAAAAACATCATATAATGTTTTCTGTAGCTCTCAAGGTGAATCTTAGAAATTAACCCTGATGATGTCTTTGAGGCTATCTGGATATGGGCTTATACACTACACATTATATTTTTAAAAAAAACTGCATTATAACCTGGTTAGTTGGAGCTTGACAGGGACTTGCAAAGGCACAGAGGCTGTAATGAAAAGATGCCACTGGTAGTGTTCAATGTTTTGAGAGCTTGACACATACAAGAAACTCAAATTCAGGATACTTTAGTCTCTGCTTCATAGGTTCTGATTATTGGGTTAGGGTCTCTTCAGTAATCCTTCAGCTGTATGAAAGTGCAACACTAACTCGGTGGGATACTCTTTTAAAGTACTTTCAGCAGGATACGTTTTTTCCTTAAACACACGACATTCTCTGACCTGCTCCTTGGACATCTCATCCTTGGTGAGTCCATCTATTAGCGTTGGGGTCCTTGCCTTTGCAGGCTTTTTACCCTTGCCTTTGGGTGGCTGGATAGAAGTCAACATAGAAGAAGAGAAAGGTTAAAACTGCTGGCTATAGCAATGAAGTAGCTTGTCCAACACATAACTGAGCGTTAACTGCTAGGTAGCTAACGTTAGCTCTTTACTGTAGTTAGCCCAATGATGAACCTGTGATATATTTTAATAACGCTTTGCTCACCATCGTATGTACAGCACAAATTAAACGGAGAGACGGTCTCCAATGTTTCGATCGCTCTGAGAAGCTCGTGCAGCAGCTTGCACTTTATACTCATGTCGTGAGTTTGGAACTCAAACATGCGTCGCTATGGCAACGAATGCTTGAAACACATCATGGTGGATAGTAACTAAGTACGTCATGGATGTGGTACATGTACGAAAATCCAATCATTAACTTCATTATATATATTTTGTTTTATGTCATTTTATACCTCTCCTCCACTACATTCCAGGGGGTAATATTTGTATAGTAGATATAAAATTAAACTTAACGCAAATCTAACTCGAAGTAAAGCCCTTATTAGCACAAAATATACATTGAATAGATGTTTCTAATAAATTATAATGTGGCTGTAAGCAGAAAGAAAGTGTTTATTCATGTTTCTCAACAACTATAACTCCTATGGGCACCAGTAAGTGGAGGCTGATGTGCTAACAGATAACAAATGAGGTAGTTTGAATTGCTGACACACACTGCACATTCATTAACACATAAAATGCCATTGTAGCTGTGTCCAATAAGATTCTAGTATTTTCCAACGATACAAAGCAGCAGAACTTTGTTTTTCTTCTTTTCTACATTGATAAATTTACAATTAATTGATAAATTCACATATCTTGTGACAATTCAGATTGGCCCAATCTAAGACTGAAAACCACTGGAAAAAACTACCCAAATCACTATTTTTATATTGCTGTATTGGTGTTTACTTCTTAAATACGTATGTTTTCCACCACTGTTAACAATTCCACAAATTCATTTTCCCTTAATGTTGGTGTCAAAAATTGTGCAATTATTATCCTGGGCTATCTGTACTGTGGTACACTGGCTTCTTCAGAGTGCAGAGGAAATATGTATTTTAGATACACTATATGTTAAACATAACCATGACTTAAAGTCAATATTGAGACTGAATAATATGAACAGAATTCAGCCCAAAATACACAGACAAAACAAAGTAAAAAAAAAAAGTTGATTTCATTCCTTTCTTGAAGTCTGTAAAAACCTATTAACATTTCTCTAAGGGAATTTTACTGATCAACATTCATCATCCATCAACTGGAATAGCAGCAAATCCAACACTGCAAAATGTACATGTACTGAATGATGTATAAATATTATCTGACACTATTTCTCTGTTCTGGTACCTCATGCACTCACAGTCACACTGAGCTTTTAAATATATACATGCATATTAATATACATGCCTGTTTGTTATGCTTAGAGACATTTCCTTATATAAAGGTTTAAATGGATGACAGTTTCAGAACATACAGTCAAGACATACTTGCACGTACTACAGATTTTTTTTTTTTTGTATATACCAGACAAATTGTTGGTAACTAACAGTAAACATGTTTGGTGCTCAGTGAGTCAGCAGTATTTTTAGCCATTATATGGAGGCATGGCTCTAGCTAAGGCACTTCGATGAAATTGTGTTCAGACCATCATGGATCTCAAAGGATGAATCCTATTGAAATTGGTAATACCCTGACATTTCCTCTAGTGCCATCATGAGGTGGAAATTTGTGATTTTTAGTCAAATGTGATAGTGAACAACACCATGTTAGCACATAGGCATGCCAATGTAAGCATTTAGCTCAACAAAGTTTAGCTGTAGTTTGTGGTGTTGTAATGAATTCGCAGTAAATGAATGAGGTTGACACGATATTTGAAATCATTCGTTTATTATTTGTTATAATCAAATAACTATTTAAAAACAGACTGCTATGTACATTTCCAGAGGATCTTTACCACAAGTTCATGATCAAACATTGAGCACAGGGATGTCAAAGAGGTCACAGAGGCCTTCACTCTCATCCAGATTATAGACATATTCTTGTTCAGATGATGGCGGTGATGGACGGAAGAGTGGTGAAAAAACTGATGAGCAGAAGTATACATGTGATTAATACAAATATGCTACAAACACCAATAAGATATGAAGTCAGAAAATAAAGTGGGCTTACCTTCAGAGGTCATAAGCTTTGTGATTAGACCAGCACTCATTATTTCTACAAAAATCAGGGAATATATAATATTATACTAGTATACAGTCAAATTAAATGACTTTACAAATTTAATGAAAATAAATAATGCAGGTAAACATCAACAATAAAAAGGCATTACCTTTGGATGGGTCTAGTAGGTCCTTCAGTTCCTTTGATAAATCTCGCACTGGAAACAAGATTTTTTTAAATTAACACTCAACACTGAAAGAGACATTCATGAGATGTTAAGACATTATTGTATGAGCATGCATGAGTATAAAAGAAATATTCACAGAGAAAGACACAGCAGAGCCAGTAACCACTGCGATATATAATTAATAAACTGATTTCATCTGCTACTGAAAGAAGAACTTGACATTTGTGTTATCTCTTCCTGAGTTCAGTTCCGTTCAACGCTAAAGAAACTCTGACTTATATAGATAATATATGTTCTGTCTGTTGTTATTGCTCTATGTTTGAATCTTATTTTTTAAACTTACTTGCATTTATAAACTAGTCATATGTTAATTATTGATTAATCTTTGCTCAACTTTGTTGTCCTTGGTTTTGCAGTATGCCCATGTGTATCTCCCTGGACATTATTACTGCCACTGTGTATTATAAGTAAGTACACCGAGAGCAAACAGAGAAACAGGAGTCAAATTCCTTGTATGCACAAACATACTTAGCCAGTTTAGATTTCGCTATCAATAGAAACTGTACAAACTAAAATACTCACATTTAGGAGCACGAGATCTTTTGGGCTCAGCATTTACAAATGACGGCGCATGAGAAGGCTGCACATCCTCCATGGCCATCTGCCTTGATTTAGTGCAATGTTTGGTAACAGCTGATGCCTGATAGGGTGCAGTACTGCTTCCTGTTGCATCTGAAGTGGACATGGCTAACTTAGCATTCTGTAAAATTTCTTCAGGCGGCGGGACTGGAAGTACGACAGGAACAGAGCTGGCAGAGTTTTTGTTAAGAAGTAGGACATCTATGGGTCCACCGACACTTTTCAGATGGATCTGGTACTTTGCTGGGCTGTTCTGAACCTGAAAGAAGATGTACACACACACACACACACACACACAACACCACACGACGAAACAACGACACACACACACACACACACACAAAGTTATCCCCTCTGAATTTAAAGGCAGAAAAAGAAAACAGTACAGTAGGTTCCACTGATGCAGGACTTACAGCTTTGGGAATAGGAACATCTAACTGCGTGCCAGATGGCGCTCGTACTGCCAAAAGTGTGTGGCCTGAAGAGACATAAGACACTGAAAAGTTAAAGACAATAATCTAATTTGGTCTTCATGTATTTTAAGACAAACAAAATGGTAGCTGTTCTTTTTGCCTTAATTCTAAAACAAATTACTGTATGTCAGCTGTTATGGTGATGCAAGCACCGTAATGATTTTATACACCAGTGGTTTTCTAGCTGTGTGATAGTTATGACTCTGAATCGCCTAAACATCAGATTTAGCTCATATCTGGACTTCACCAAAGTGGCAAAAGTTCTAGTTGTTTCACAGGTGGGTCTACACTGAATCTCTTTACTACAGAAACATCAATCAATGCAACTCAACAGCAGCAGAGAGGAGGCAGGAAGAAATGTGCCAAGGAGACTTTTGTTCTCATTTTCCTCAAAAAGTAAGGCTAGGATGTGTATTCACTCTACTGAAATACCTGAAGGTACCCGAAGGTTTCCTCTGTGGAATATAGATGTATCTACAATACAAAGGGATAGCACTGTCTTTGGCTTACTGCCCCTCTCCTTGGATTTTCAAAGATACCCCCAACACAAAAATGTACAGAAGAGCAATTGTTGAACGACAAGAGAGTGATTATACATTACCACTGAAGCAGTTGCAGATATCTTCATGATTCACATAGGTCAGAGTTGATCTGAGTTAAAGTTCAACTTGAAATATTGTGCTAGAAGAGCTAGCTGCTGCATGACAGCAACTATAATAATAAAAGATGTTAGCTTTAATAATAAATGAATTTGCTCTTGCAAAAAAAATTACAGCTATAAGCAATACCATACAGCTTTTGTGCCACAAAGGATTAACCCACACCTGCTCAAAATGCTGTCCAATATCTAATTTTCACTGAAAAAGTGAAACGTTTCAGACAAATACATAACATTTCTGCAATCTCTACTAAGTTTTTGTCAATAGAAACAGACAGGAATAGAATAACTGACAAATGTTGAAAATCAACGTGTTCAAGTTTAAACAGGAATAAAAAAGGATATTTGCTGCAGTCTTCCGTTGTGTTCCTGATGCTCTGTTCGACCCAGAGTCTCTGCTGGTCCAACATGAATTCCTTCTGCTCCAAGTCCTCCAGCTCAGACTTTAACTGTGTCAGTCTGTTGGTTAACTCGCATGCATTTTCTCCTGGCATTGCACCTCTTATTTAGAAAAAGCATATGTATTATATATTGTAAAACATATTTTGCACTACACTCTTGCAACACATGCATACACAAATGCATGCACAAAAGGCAGGGTTGAAAACTTACATCCACTTCACAATTCTCTTAGATATTTTCATAATCAGACCAATGCCCTCCAGCACATTTGTGATATCGTAGATTCGCCTTTTCTGTCCAACAGCCAGGATCCTGACAGCCTAAAAGAACACAAAAAACACTTTACCCACCACAGCCTACTTAGCCTCATCCAGAGAATTTTTGTTTCCCAAATGTCTTAAAAAAAAAAATATTGTTGTTGTATTTTTGACAATATCAAGCTCTGGTTCCTATATAGGTTAATGGCACTTTTTGCAGGCACTTAATACAACAGCTTTTGCTAACTGAATGAACTATTTAATATAATTTCTGAGTTTTTAACTGAAATGTAAGATGAAATAAAAACCGGAGGACTTTAGTTTCTAAAAGTAAATAAAAAATCTTTATTAAATTCACTTTAATTTGGTCAGAGTGAGTAAGAAATATAGAGGTAACAATAAACAGCCACCCATTTCTGAGAAAATTCAAAAAATAAGACAAAAAAACAACTTTTATTTCCCAGTGCACACTGTAAGCACTGACAAGCATAAAAGGCTGAATTTTACACTTATGTCTATACAGAGGGCTCTATATACAGAATATGACCAATTGGATATATGTATATTATGCTTATTTATTATTATTTTGGGGGCTGCAACTAGCAATTGTCATCATGAATTTATTTGTATTTTCTCTATTAATCATTTTGTCTACACAATATCACAAATTAGTGACTGTATAGTAACTGTCTAAAGGGGAAAAGCAAGAAATCAGTGACATTTAAGAAACCATATCTCCAGTGATGGGATCCGTGTTTGTTTCGCTGTGTGCTTGAATGGTCTCAGCTCACTTACTTCTTTAAGGTCCAGTGTTCCTCCTTCAGCTTCTTGTAGTAACTTGACAAACCTGGCGGCCAGCACATTAAGGCTCCTTAGGCTCCTCTGGTATTTGGGGTTCTGGTCTGGCATGGCAGTCTCTCCGTCTGGACTGTGTGGGCCACCTTCAGGATCCATGCTGCCGGACAAGAAAACAAAACAAATGAAACCGGGAGGCTCCCTGCTCTGTTTGAATCAGCTGCGTCGGACCCGCCTCACACAAGCGGAAAGAGTTTCTTTCGATATTTTCAGTGTTTCCTGTATGACCACTCTTATAGTTTTGTGTGGTTTTTATGTGGATCTGAAATCATCCTGTGTAAATAAAACGTTTAGAAAAACAATACGGTCATGCACTTTTCGTCTGAACTTTCACCAATTGTTACAGCTCATTGGGATAGGTTTATTATGAAAAACTTATACCGGAAACACTAAGATTTTGTGTACCTTTTCTCTCGTAAATAACTATCGTTAATACAAAATGGTTTGTTAAAAGTTCTGGTTGTTCGAAAGAGCGCTGATACGGGCACTTAATCAGATTGTCTACATGAATTAAACGGGAAAATTACAACAATCAATTGTTATTACCTCGATAGTTGTCGCGAATGGCGGTAGAGTTGCTGCTCAGGATACTAAGCTAACGCTAGCTAAAGCCAATAGTCCTGACGACGGCAACCGACAGTATTTTAACTTGCGATACGAGTTTTGGCGAACAGATAAATTTATCTACAATGCAATAACAATTTCAAGCCAATGTTTTCAGCACTGCACCAACTCCATTGATACTCCAGTCCCCACTGTTATGGAGTTAGGCGCGTATTTTTCCGGTAGCCGTATAAACCTGCCTTCACAATAAAAGTCCAAACGTACGACTGATCACAATTAAGTGCCCTCTCACTAAAATAATATTTTATGGTATCCTGGAAAAGGCATTATTTATATGTATTCCATCTACATTAAACCTGAAATGCTAAGCCAATAGCATGCAGAAAACAATTTGCTATCGTGTTATTTTCTGAGCGTTACACTAATGGGGGACAGAGGGATCCCACCACCTCCACCTATCATCTATTGAATTGTATATTCTTCCAAGTCAATATTATTATATTAATAGCATTATATTAGTTATACCCAAAAAAAAACAATCAGTACTCCTACGCTGGAATAATGCTACACGGCATGTTATATTTACTGGCCCAGAATTAGTTTTTAGAAATTTAGATTTCAGCCTGTAAGTATTCCACAAAGTGTTAGTTCTTTAATTTTGTGCATATAAACTCTACCCAGGTAAAACAGGCAAAACATTTGACATGTTTCAGTTTCAGGGTCCTGGTATTGTTCCTGTTGGCTCACTGTGACACTGTAATGGCTTACATGGTTATACAAACAATGTTTGTGTTTCCTTTTGGGTCAAGTCAAAATGTGTGCTGTGAAATGAAAAGTTTGGGCACTTAGTTAGTCCCATACACCCCTTGTTAGAAATATTGGCAGAAACATAATTTTTCACCCACTCTTCCTGTAGATTGCTTCAGGTTTTTTGCACACACACAGCATGCTTAAGATCCACCCACAGATTTTAAATGATGTTGATGTCAGGGCTGTCAGTGACATCAGTGAGGGCTGTTCCAAAAGCTTCAACTTGTGTTTCTTGAGGTACTTCATGGTGGATGTTGAGGTCTGGTTTGGATCACTGTCCTGTTGTAGAATCCAGCTTCTTTCAGTTTAACTTTCTCAACTGACTGCAGGATATTTGCATCCAGAATCTGTTGATATTTAGTGGAATCAATTCTTCACTCTATCCATGCAATGTTTTCTGAGTCACTGGCTGCCACTCAACCCCAAAGTAGAGTATTTCCACCCACATGCTGAACAGTTGGTGAGGTGTTCTTTCCATCAAATACTGCTCCTTTTTTACTCCAAATATGGTGATTGTGGGCAAAGAGCTCAATTTTAACTTCATCTGTCCAAAGCACTAGTTTCCAAAATGACTATGGCTTATCCAGATGTTGCTTTGCAGACTACAAACGTTGACTTTTGTGATGAGGTTGCAGGTAAATTTTCCTTCCGATGACTCTTCCACATACACCCTGTTTGTGCATTAATGGTGCACAGTGGAACAGTGCACCACCACTCCAGGTCCCTCCTGTAGGTCCTTTGCAGTCATTTCAACCCAGCAGACCTGCAATCTGACAGTTGTCTTTTTCTTTCAGATCTTGTCTTGACTTACACAGTTCCCCTTAACAGCCATTTGTGACACTTCAGACAGTGGAAATTTCAAACCGGAAGCGCTTTGATACCTTTCGATGGCTTCACTTGCTTTGTTTGCATAATTTTCAGATCCTCAGTCAGGTGCTTAGAGGAGCCCATCGTTGTTAAGTGTTACCACACGGCTTGAAGAGTCAGAGAGATGATTAGATCTGGAAATGTAACCAACTGACTATTTATAATAACAATTCTTGACATACCTTTCAAGGCCTAACCTGTCACTTTACAACTACAAGTCTGCCCAAACTTTTGCATGTCACAATTCTGGTCAAGTTTGTGAAATAGAAAGTAACTGTGAATTAACATTTGAAGAATGGCTGTTTTTTTTTAAAATGTACTATGTTTGTATTTACTTCTGTTCACTTCAAACATCCTCAACAAAATATGTAGTTTGTCCCCAAACTTTTGCATAAAACCATTTATCTTTCATGTCTCAGTGGTATAGTACGCTCCTCTACTTGTACTGTAAATGTGTTGCATTAAAACCGTTTTTGGGGGGTTCCGGTTTTTACATAACAATTCGATTATAACTGAGGAAGCGAGCTTCCAACATTTTAGACCTGCCCTAGCAATGTCGATGTCCAGGACTTCCGTGTGGCGTCAGGCGCTGGTCACGTGACCCGCAGCAGCAGTCACATGACTGGTTGGTCATGTTCACGCGGAGGTACAGTTGAAGATTCTGGAGGAAGTCAGCTAATAAGCCTCGTCCCTTCCCTTAAACTGACGCGAGGTGTTGTGTTGTCGTTGTTAGAAGTGAGTGAGGTTTGGTGATGTTCTCCGGGAGTTTACTGGTGTGTTTGCTGGCCGTGTTGCAGCTCGGCTCCCGGGCTCAGTACGCTCCTGATGAGGTGACATACCTGCCAGGTATGACGTTCAAACCCAACTACCGACAGTGGTCAGGGTACCTACAGGCACGGCCGGGGAAGTTTCTCCATTACTGGTAAGAAACTGACGGACGAAGTATGCACTTCTTTTGCTTTAGTTAAAGTACTAATACAACAGTATAAGAACCTACCTAAGTAAAAGTACTGAAGTAATATCAGCAAAATGTATCAAAAACCATTTGTTTTGGCAAGTAAATACTCAAACTGCAACACAGACAGTCAAATATCCTCAAATGTTGATGTGCTGTTCCTTTTTAGTTCATGAGCTTAAATAAATAAAAGGAAAATGTTGAAAATGTAACAGTCAATGTTACATGTGCAAAAGATAGTATGTAATGAACCCAAAGTTTTGCATACAACTGTGTCATGCAGTTTACAGTATCTAACTTTAGTCCTGATCTCCTGCAGGTTTGTGACCTCTCAGAGGGACCCAGTCAAAGACCCTGTGGTCCTCTGGCTGAATGGAGGTCCTGGCTGTAGCTCACTGGATGGATTCCTGTCAGAGAATGGACCATTTCATGTGAGCGTGCTCACTGTGTGTATAAATATACCTGTGCACTGAATCAAAGTGACTCTGAATATGCACTGTGGACTTTGCTTTTCAGGTGAATGATAATGGAGCCACACTGTATGAGAACACATTGAGCTGGAACAAGATTGCCAACTTGTTGTATCTAGAATCTCCTGCAGGAGTGGGATATTCCTACTCTGATGACCAAAAATATGAAACCGATGATGACCAGGTCAGTTCAGTCTGTTAGATAAGTCCTAATAGATTTTAAAATTCAAAGAAAAGCTTAGAAACAGCCAGAGACCATACTGGACAAGAAACCATTTCATATGTTCTTCTCTTAGGTAGCTGATGATAATTATAAAGCCCTCCAGAGTTTCTTTGTCAAGTTCCCCAATTTCACTCAAAATGATTTCTTCATCTTTGGAGAGAGTTATGGTGGAATTTACGCACCAACCCTCAGCCTGCGAGTGGCTACAGGATCTGCCAAAATCAACTTCAAAGTGAGTTGCTTCTTGCAAGCCTCTGTTTATCTTCAGCCTCAGATGTTTTGCTCAGCAGCACCATCAGCTGCTCACTATCAGTACTTTAGAGGCACTTAGCCAAGCATATTTATTTTTGATTGTCCATTGTTTTCAGGGCTTTGCAGTGGGAAATGGTCTCAGCAGTTTTGCCCTCAATGACCAAACTTTGATCTACTTTGGTTACTATCACGGCCTCTTTGGAGAAGAGTAAGTGGCACCTTGTAGCGGAAGCTTGTTTGCTTTTACTCTGAGGGAAAATGTACAAAAGCCATGAAAGGCTTGTATGCTCCCCCTCACAAAATATGCATAACGTCAAATTAGATAGATTTTTGCTGGGTAATTGCCTTGTGCGTGACTTCTGATTGTAAATTATTGGCATATGTAATATGAAAGTCTGTCAAATTCAAAACATTCAAATTTACTTTTATGGTTGTTATTCTACTAGAACCAATGTAACATACAGTGTGTCTCATTTTAATGTTTTAGATCAATATGACAGAATTACTGACATCAAGCTAAGATGAAAGTTACACATAGTTGATGCAGAGATTGTCATTTTATAGCCTTGTTTTGTCTGCAGTTTGTGGCGTGATCTGAACATAAATTGCTGTGAGAAGGGGAGCTGTAATTTTTACAACTCCAGTTCAGAGATGTGCAATAAGCTGGTACGTATGCACTATTTCTACAGTATACAGCTGGGAATTCCTGGCACCACTCTTTCAAATTTTACTTTGTCCTTGTCTCCCTTCAGGTGACCATGGCTTTTCATATTATGTATGAGATCGGACTTAATGAGTATGCCCTCTACTTGGATTGTGAGGGGCAGAGAAGATCCCACAGAGGCTATGAGAGAGCCATGAGTCATCTGTTTAAGAACTGCAGGAAGAATCCTCAGGGCCACAAAGTGAGCGTTTCCCCTCTTGGCCTTGCACCTGTGCTTCAAATTCTGATTGTCCTGTAGCGTTAATGATTAACATCTTTTTAATGAAGTTTTCAGACAGAGCGACTCCCTTCGTGTCTCTGGGTGAAGTTCCTCCCTGCATCAACAGTACGGCTCAGATGAACTGGCTGAACAGAGGCGATGTGAGGAAAGCTTTACACATTCCAGATACGCTGCCACCGTGGGACATCTGCAGGTGTGTTACAGTAAAATAATTAATGTGATTAGATGATTATGACGTCACTGTCATCCCAAGTCCTTCCTTACCACCCAAAGACGAATCCAAATCTATTTCAGCAGTACATTGTATTGATTGTAACCCTTGACTGGCTTGTTGAAAGCACTGCAACACATTTTTGTACACACGACGACAACAGAAGGGATAAATACGCATAGTAAAAAGTATTCACATTGCACTACTGTTGTTTTTAAAGCATATGTGGATTCTACTAATCTTCCCCTAAATAAATAATGATTTTTAACACCTTGAAGTAGTAATTTCAGCCTGTAATCCGTTGGATCGACAGTCTTCTGTAACTGTATTGTCTGTGTGCGGTTAGGTTGGAGGTCAGTGACATGTTTATCATGTTGATAACAAACTCTTCATCGCAGTGATATTGTTGGGGAGCATTACACCAACCTGTACACAACTGTGAAGGAGGTGTATCTGAAGCTGCTCTCTCTGGGCCTGCGGGCGCTCGTCTACAATGGAGACACTGACATGGCCTGCAACTTCCTGGGAGACCAGTGGTTTGTGGAGGACCTTGGCCTGAAGGTAGGAACTTTAATTTCAGGAAAGATCTTATACCAAACTACAAACAGACATATTTCTTAATGCTACCGATAAATGTTTTCAGGCAACCACTAAGTATCAGAGCTGGATTCATGAAGACCAGATTGCCGGTTTCTACCAACAGTTTGGAAACATAACTTTCCTGACAGTCAAGGTAACCACCTGTGTGTTGTTTAGTGTCTGCCCTAGAAGCATGGCTGTGCTGTTTTAGGTTGGTGATGTGAAATACAACTGTCCTGTGTTTCAGGGTGCCGGTCACATGGTTCCTCAGTGGGCTCCAGGTCCAGCTTTCCACATGTTCCAGTCATTCATAACAAATGGCTTCTACTGAGTCATGAAAAAGATGAATATGTGTGTTTTCTACACTGATATATGTAGACAAGCACAGTGTCCCTAAAATAATATCACACCAACAATTATACTCTTTGTTGAAAACACCCACCAAACATTCACAGTGCTGGCAGAAAAAGTAAGTCAACCTTTGGATTTAGTAACTAGTTGAACCTCCTTTGGCAGCAATACCCTAAAAAAAAAAAGAGCTTCCAGTAGCTGCTGATCAGACCGTCATTCTTCCAAAAGAACTGCTTCATTTCAGCCAAATTCTGGTGTGAATGTTTCTCTTCAGGTCATTTCACAGCATCTCTGCTGGATTAAGGTCTGGGCTCTGACTGGGCCACTCCCTACAGGTGGATTTTCTTCTTTTGAAGTCATTCTGTAGGGCTGCTTCAGCAGGTGGACGAGCGTGTCCAGGTCCAGATGCAGCAAAACACCAAGTCATGATGCTCCCTCCACTGTACTTCACCTCTGGGATAATGTTTTAATGTTAGTATGCAGTTCCTTTTTTCTTTTTCTTTTTTTTTTTTTTACACCATAGTTCTTTATCGTAGTTTTCATAAGCATTAGTTTCATCACTCATCATCATTTGCGTATGGTCGACTCATGAACAGAGCTGTTAACCAGCGCCAATCATTCCTTTAAACCTTTAGGTGTTACTCTAAGGTTCTTTGGTACCTCACTTGGCATTCATCTTAGCAGGGCGCCCTCTTCTAGGTAGAGTAGTCACAGAACTAAGTCATCTCTTTATAGACTGTGGACTGATGTATATCTAAATTCAGAGTCATCTCCCCTTTCAGCTTTATGCAAATCAACAATTCTTGAGCTCTTTTTTGCAAGGCGTGGTTCACAGCCGCAGATGTTTCTTGTGAACATAAAACTCAATATGTTGTCTGTTTGTTTGTTTTTTTCCAAAGTAACCCTAACCCATACTCCCTGTCTGGTTTCATTGGTTGGACTCCTGATAACTCCTGACTCCAGTTTGCTTTAGTAGATGTCATTAGCTAAGAGGTTCACACACTTTTTCCAGCCTACACTGTCAATGTTTGAATGATATTTTCAACATGGACAAGAATAGTACAATGATTTGTGTGTCATCAGTTAAGATAGATTATGTTCAGAATTGCAACTTGGATGAAGAGTCGACCATATTTTAGGACAAATTCATGCATTCACTGACTATTTCTTGCCACTTCTATATAAACCTGTACTGGCCACTTGTTAGATGGTACATTTTTCTCAGGGAAGATGAATTTAGAGGGAAAAGGACTGTTAAAGCACCTATTATTTTTCATTGTTCTTGCAGTGCTGTGTGTTGAGTTTTTGGTCTTTTGGCGTTGACTCTTATCTGTATCACTTGATTTGAGATGCAACGATTCAAGTGCCAACTTTGAGATTTGAGGATGTTTACGTCTCTTTACTAGGTGAACATTTTTGGAATTACAGCCCTTTATACAATGTCCCTCTATTTCAAAGGATCAAAACTTACCAAACAAGTTAACAAACTTGAATAATCATGCTTAAGTCACTTTTTTGGCTTCAGTCTGGTCTTTAGCAAAAGTGAAACAAAGGCTTATTTGGATTGAGATTAACTGACTGATTTGGTCATTTAAGGACAGTCTGTTTGGCTCAAACTATATTTTGGTTCAGATTATTGTCCTCAAGGAAATAAGTATGTATAAAGGGGCTGCACTTCCTACACTGATCACACAATATGAATGTGAAAAGCTTTTCTTTTTTTTTTTAATCTGTGTTTTACGCCTTTTACACTGTAAAGCCAGTATTGTGAATACATAAAGCCAAAACAGAGTCTTTGTCCAGATACATAGTACACTGTACTGTACTTTTAAATGATGCTTTTCTCTGTGGCACTGATGTAAAGCAGAATCTTTGTTTTTGTCATATCAATATTTTCAGCAAATGTAAATGATACAAGGTGATTGAACATTGTCAGTAAATTCAGAGCAAACTGTCTTGTTAAAAACTGCAACTTAACTCATTTGTCTTTTAATTAAATGTTCTGTTAACTGCCACTGACACATGGATTGTCATATTTATTCACAGACATTGATTGTAGTTAATTTATTGGAGTATCATATCATAGGCAGGTTCCTTTAAAACTTGCCAATGAACATAATTTTTATGCGTCATTGTTCTGTAGAAACAAGGAAAAATGATTTCTGATGAACAAATGCCTTGAGAAAAGTACATCCTTCCAACCAGCAAACAATAAATCACTGACAGAAGTTATAAATGAAGCTGCTATCCACTCATCTGTAGCACCAATAGAGTAAAAGAAAAAAAATCATAAAAATTTGACACAAATGGTTGAAAACAAATTACATTCCAAAAATGATTGCAAAAAATTTTAAATAAGATAAAAAGTCTGACACTCTACTTTTTGTACTGGTCCCACAGAGGATTCATTAATGTTTTGACTACAGCTTCTTTCCCTTTCTCAAAATTATGTTGTATTTGTCACCTGTGTGACTAATAAAATGTACTTGCTTTTCTGGGAAGAAAAAAAAAAATCCCTTTTACCATGTCTGTCCCTCATATACAAAAGTAAAACACCTTATTGCTTAGTTTGATAAAAACCTGAATAAATAGTAGAATCAAATGGCTGTCAGCCTTGAATCTCACTTGAATTATGGATCGTAACACACTTAGCAACCCCAAAGCTGATAAAGTGTAATTGAATAAACGTAAAACCAGGATTAAATACACTTTAGTTTTGATCACTGTGGCATTGTAAACCATTTAAACATACTTTATATTCTAAACATCTTTAGTGTTGAACAGATGAGGTTTTTAATGCTGGGGCATTAAAAAAAAAAAAAGAAAAAAGTTCACACTTTGGTTTTAGTCAAAAAAGAACAAAAATTATTTATAGCTCATCATTCTTGAGTTTCTGCAGTGGTGTCAGTGATTCAAGTAACTAAAACCTCACACTTAGAGTTCAACTACTTGACTTTTCCACACATCACTGTCAGTAGCAGTGTGTACATGTGCAAACTGAATTCTGTGTAAGATACTCCAATCTCTTGTTTACATTCACAAAGACGGCGTCATTTTCAAAAACCTGCTCTGTAGGAATTGACAGTCCTGAAAGAGTCTGAGTTCTCATATCCTGAATGTGGAGGTGATGCTGTGCTGCACAGCATTTGGGGAGGCACACTGCTGTGGTTTTCAGCCTGTTTGACACTTAATTGTTCTGGACACAGAAGTAACCACCTGCTTTTAACGGTCTGCGGGCTTACAGCACATGACTGTAGCTTTGTACTTTTGCAAACCTGTCTTAACTAATATGGTTTAACCTCACCTTCATAGTACAAAACTTTATGAAATATATAAGAAACCAACAAAACTAAAAAAAAATAAATAACTAAAATGACTTCCTGGATCTATTTCAAAATGTATCATGATTTGTTTACCATGGCTATGTAGTTGAAAACCTCACATTTTCCACTCATTTAGAGGTACTGACTGGACGTGAACAAATCAACAAGACCTGCAGTAAGCACCTCCCTCATTAACAATGCTGTGTCCTAGCAGGTGCAATCCTATCACTCAGTTCAATGTTTCATAGGAAAAACAAACAAAATTCTCAATTAGTGGACAAACCATCAACGGTGCCAATATAGAGTCTAGACCTGGATTAGACCTGGGAACCACAACATGTCGATTCAATGATAAGAAACATTTACTTTGACATGCAAGTTAAAAATACACAAATTGGTACAATTTCATTATAAAAAAAACAATCAATCTGATTTGAAGACCTTTCTATACAAAGTCCTTCAGCTCTTGTAAACAGGACAGGAATGTGTCACCCATACAGGGTCCAGAGACAAGGGACGCCACTCTGTGGCCCTGTGGAATGGCTACACTGTCAAACTATTTTCACTGCAAGTTAAAACCATCATCAAAACATAAAACATGCAATTTAAATTTTACAGAAAATAAAAGGCAAAGTTTCTGAAGTCACTTGGCGTTGTGTGGTGTCTTCGACTACTCCCTGACTGAGCAAAGAGCTCTGGGGCTTTTAACCCGGGAGCAGGGATGCCACAGTGGTCTTGATATTTTTTTAAATGAGTGTCATGAGATGCTCCATCTTATCCAGTAGTTCAGAATAGCAGCACAGGACTAAGCCCCCCCCCCCCCCGTCTTCAATAATGAGGACACCACATGCTCTGGGAAAAATGTTCCTCTTAGCTGTTGATGTCTTGATAGATGGAGTTGGTTGTGGTGAGACCAAAGATGAAAGCTCCGATTGTAACCATGACAACACCAAAGACTACCAATCCATGCCAGCTGTGAAAGAGAGGACGGTGGAAATGAGTGTAGCAGTTGACTCTGATGTGAAAGGCTCACTCAGAGCAGATAAATAACACCCAATTTCTATATATTGAGACAGTATTTCAACATCTAATCTTATCAATTAAAAAAAAAAAGTGATTTTTTTATTTTTACTGCCATGTTTTGATTATGGAATAGAGTCACAATTTAGGAAATGTTTGAAAAATGGTTCATTATACAGCTAAAAGTTTTGTTTTTTTATTTAGATGGTTAGTCTTTGAGGATCTGGAGATATGGAGAAACCTTCTAAACATCAGTAAGTGACATGATGTAATAAAGTGATGTAATAAGCAGCATCTCACCTGGCTGTCCGGCTGTCTGTCTCTGATAGTTTGGCTTGCATCAAACACAAACCTGTTAAGTTTAAGAGACATGACATAAAGACATTACAGTGAGACATTTAAATTGGGGTTGTAAGGAAGTCTGAAACAGTGCACATGATGAGGGCAGTGTTACCTGGGAAGACAAAGATAAAACAGGCCGCCAATCCTCCGATCAGCGAGATCACCCGACCAATATCTGGGATGAAGAGGGCGAGGACGAGGGTGACGACAAACCACACCAGGGTCTGCAGGATCCTCCTCCTCTGCTCACGACGTACACACACTTCCACCTGTTCACCTTGAAAACGCAGCCAAAGCCCTTCTATAACTGCCCTGGAAAGACACATGATCACACCAGAGTGCAGTGAGGAAATGCTCCATAAACTAAATCGATAAATAAGGAAACTTGTCTGTATCACACACAAGGGAAGCATCGAACCCTTGTAATTTTTTTCTCCCCAATACTCATTCAAACATAAAGGTATTGGCTGAAACCAATCCAACAACAGTGCTCTTTTCGCCTCTTTCCATTTATGAATCTTTACATCTAACTGAACTGAATTATTCTTTTATGTGTGAGGTGACATGAAGCTGTAAATACACATGGTTTCTGAACTGCAAGAAGTACAGTGCAGAAGTTCATACATTAGAATTATTTTTAGGCTTGTGCAAATACATTTTTTTTTCTATTAAAAACAGTCCCTGATTGATTCAATTGAACATATTTAATGTGGGTATGTCACATTCTGCCCATGCTCAATACATTTAATAAGTTCAGTATCGATCCTTATAATGATTTAGTATCTCAGATCAGTGCATCAGCAAGTCAAGACAAAACTAGAGGGATAAATCGTTCTGGCTCATTCATCAGACGATATTATCTTATCTCAGATCATATCAGTATCGGCATATATGTTGCCAGAAAGTAACAGAAATGCTGAAGATATGCAAGTTAATTTAGAAAGTGTTTCCATTACATAGTGTGTTTATGTAAAACTAATAACTATCAGTCGATATATAATAAGTTCTTTTTATTCTTAAATATAAATATCAGCTCAGTCCAGCCTCAACAGCATTTTATTTTCAGTGTATCTGACCTGCCACAGAAGTGTAAAATGGGGTAGGATGTGATCACACAGATGACAATAAAAGCTCTTGCGATGGCCACAGCAATATCATCAGGAGGGTACGACATCAACACGTCCTGACTGACATTGGAGCCAAAAGTCAGGAAGCCGCAGACACCTGATCAACACAAAACACAAGCGCTTTAAGTACTGACAGCCAGTCACGAGTCATGTGACCTGCAACAAAGCTGCACAATATTTCTCTTTTGCCATCAGTGTAGTGTAAACTGACACTGAAACACTGATCCGTCATCAGACAAGAGAACCAATAAAGTGGAGAAATGAGCTGTAGCTTGTTACAAAGTTTGAAATTTTTTAAATAAATTTCAGTGTATCACACAATTCATCATCACTGAGTAAACATTGAGTACACATTGCACACATTGACAGTACCTGTTCCTGTGTAAACAAAGAGGCAGATTATCATGCTGAGAGTGACCACAAGTCCCCAAGGTCTTATCTCTTTCCTGCTCATGCTGTTGAACACTGGCACACAGCTGACATGGCACTGTAGAGAGAGAGATAAGGAGACAGAAGATATGCAAAAATGATTCATCGATTTTATACTCAAATCATAAGAGAAGCAAATCATTTAATGATACCATATGAGGAAATACCTGGAAACCAAAGCATATGGTGGGCATTGCATTGAAAACTGCAGTCCAGGAAGCAGAACTGTAACAAACACAGTGATTTAGCGACTCAAGCAAAGCAAGATGACGAGGATGAAGATGTTTCTGCTTGAATGAGTCTTCGGACAATGCTCAAATAATTAGTGAGAAGTTTCTGAAAAGCTGTTAGCTGCATAAAGTAAGGGCAGTGTCATGGTGAGTGGGTGTATGGCTCACCTGGTGGGACCATAGCCCGGAGTCATCTCTTTATCTGGCCAGATGTATTTTATAATGACCACGACGGTAACATACCAGGTTCCCATCACACTCAGTGCACTGCAATGAAGAACGATAACTCAGACGTGATTACAATGGAAGGTAAAAGTAATCCTCAGTGAGGAAATAAGCTGAGTGAGTAGACAGAGCGACAGAGCTTTGTACCTGGCATACTTCTGAAAGCCAATCTCTTTGGGGATGGAGAGAGGAAGAATAACCAAGACAGCAGTAACAACAATGGTAAATTTGCGGTCAGTGTACCAGAAGCCACCGGTACTATCTGTGTCATGAGCCACTGCTGCTATCACTGCAAAAAAAAAAAAAAACAGGGAAATGTTTTTGAGAAGGACAGACAAGTAGAGAGGGAGGCAGTGGTGTATGCTGGAGAAATGTTACAGAGTGCCATGGTGGGAATTAGCCCCAAACTGCTTTACACATGGCAGAGATTTAGCAAAGTAGTTAAAGAACATCACAGCCACTCATTCATTCATTCATTTCAAAAGGCAGAATGAGGTGGGAGGTCACAGTCTATTTCCAGAAACAGGCAGGAGTAGGAATTCTACTGTGTCAGCGTCTCAGTGCACGGAAATGTAAGAGCAGATCACATGAGGGACACATTTACTGAGAGAAAAAGCTGAGTGGTGTCATCCTTGATGCTCTTTGCCCTCTTCAATAATGGCACTACCTCTTATTATTTTAAAGCTTAGCAGCACTAACACTAGATATCTTCCTTTGTTCAAACACACAAATGTAGGGCAAAATGACAGAGTCCATGGAAATATAGGTGAAAGAACAATAAGTAATGACAACTATACAAGGGTAAGGGTGGCTGTTGGGTGATTCAGTGCGACTATACTTACAGCGATCCAGCTGGTCTCCAATGACAATAAAGAAAGCAATGCAAGTGCCAAAGGTGTAGACAGCAATGGCTACTTCACATATGACTCCTGTGACTTTCCCACAAGTGGCTCGAACAACCTCCTGATAGGTGCTTTCGTTACTGACCTGAAGAAACCAGGATAAAAGGATAAAAAGTGTAATGGATTCAGCAGTAAAGGGACTGGAATAAAGAAATACACCCCAGTCTGTATACATTAACCTCCACCATCACTGAAGGGTCTTTAAGTAATCTAGCATGAAGTCTAGCTGACAATTGTAAAAAACCAAACATGACAGCTGCTGTTATAGCTTTAAGATTGGCTCTTAAATCTCTTTAAGCTCTTCTTCTAATACAGTTGTGACACAGCAGCAGTCAAGCTTAAAGCATCAGCCCAAAATCATGTATCAGATAATGTTGCTAATCAAAAGAAAGGATCACATCTTTATATTTGCAGAAGGATCCTCACTCTAAATATTTTCATTCATTCAAATATATATTTTTAATGCTATTTAATGTCATCTTAATATTCTGTTTTTTAATGCATTTCCATGCCTCTGTAAAGCACTTTGAATTGCCTTGTGTCTGCATGGTACCATATAAATAAACTTGCTTTGCCTTGCCTTGCCTTACAGACTGTAACCATCTTCAGTTTAAGGAATGCTTGATGAGAAAGTAATGGTTTTATAACTGCAGCATGAGCACACTCAGTCATACTCAAGTCAATAATTCTCATGGTACCACAAGCCTTAAGACAAAGTTCATCCTGCAGCTAAAAAGATTTTTGTATTTAAAAGAAATACACTGTAGATGTTTCTGGCTCCAAATGAATATCATCTATTAAGTAAGAAGAGATCAAAATGTAAAACTGACTCAAACTTGCATGTTGTATGTGTTTTAGCATGTAAGCATAAGTCTGAGCCATTCAGGAAGTGAAAGTCTGAGATTCTGTGCAATGCACTACATCAGGAATACAACCGCAGAACAAAAAAGCTATTACACAAGAACAGTGCTCTGATAGTTTCACCACTAATGAAGGAAAAATATTGAAGTGAGAGAAAAGCGGCATGTGGTGAGAGAAATAAAGAGAAACTACAGTAAGAGATGAAGACTTCCAGGAAGTCAGACAGTGACAGGCCTGAGGCGACACAAACCTGGGAGCAGTAGCCCAGAATCACCAGTCCGCTGATTATGAAGATCAGCATAAACTGAAATACAAACACACAGAAAACATCACATTATAGTTCCCCATCATACTGTCTAGAGCAGTTTTATGTCTGTCACAAGAAAAATAGACAGCTGATAACAGCAGACAGTTTGAATGTATTCTAAAATTCAATGCAGACTAATGTGTAAATACTGTGCGCCTGCTTACACTGAAGCCAGGATCGGTTATCATTCAGACGATTAGATACAAACTTTAGTCATTTATCAACTAAAACAATATTCTATTTTTTTTCAGGTGCTCTTCTCACTGGTTTGAAGTGGGCGGCACTCAGTAGTAGAAATAAGATGTCAGCTTCTTCTTTGCAGCAATCAGGGTTTAGTAACATATAAATTACAGTCTGATAAATGTGGGGTCGTTTTCATATGTTGGCATCAAATCTGATGAAACCACAACATAGTCCTGACAAATAAGAATAACCCACATTTTTCAGTCTAAAATTCTTAATAAATAACAACTAAGAATGATTTTTCTCCAAAACTTGAACTCTGGTTGTTGCACAATTAGTCATGAATATTTCAGTTTTCAAGGACCTAAATAGCCACAGTTGTTTCCTTCTCTCTGTTAAACTGAATTGCGTTTCGGATGGTGGGCAGACTTAGTAAGTCATTTAAAGACACCGCCTTGAGTCATTTCTGATGGCATTTATTGTATTTTTTGTGGTTTTACAGAGCAAATGATGAATAGATGTATCTAAAAAATAATCGAATCAACTGAAATTGAAATTTAAAGTAGGTTGCGGCCCAGTTTATGTCATTACAGTAAAAGCTTTTAGTCCTGAACACCTGCCTCATTCTGCAGGAAAGGACCTGTATAAAGGGGTGTTTTCACTTCTCCTCACCATCTGAAGCATCACTCCTGCAGTTACGCCGTCTGCCATATTGAAGGCTGCAGGGAAATTGAGTAAACCTGCTCCCAGTGCTGCATTCACTACGATGAAGACTGCTCCCAAAGACGACACGCCCCCGCTCCTTCTCCTATCCGTCTCAAGGTGCTGCACAGAATCCACGCTGGGGCTCTGCAAGAGCCATGCCCTTTCTCCAGAGTCATTACTGCCAACTCCACCCCAATCCTCCACATCAGCGTTAATCGCCATGAATCCTCAGGCTGTGGCTCGGCCTGTGATGCCTTTCGCAACCCAGAAAATTTGTCTCCAATTTTCTGGATCCAAAGGGAAGTAAAGTTAATCAAAGAGTCCAGGTGAAGGGACAAAGATCACTCAGGTGCATCTGAAATTTTACGTCCAGAGTCGTTAGTTCCACAACAGTCAGGAGAAGCTGATGTTTCAGTGTGATGTTGGAGCCATTCAGTGACTGATCTGTAATGAAATATTGTTTGAATTTATAGATATTTGTACTGTGAAATAACAACTGAACAATGTGTTATCATATCAACATACTATGTAAATTACTGTAAAGAAATAATTTGCATTAAATGTTTGAATGAATGTGAAAGAAGCATAAGAGTCATTTTTTGTACAACACAGATTGTGTTTTCTTAAAAGAAACGATGACGGCAGGGAAAATATGTATATAATTTAAATAGGTGACTAAGGCATAATTCTTAAGAAATGTAATGTGACAGGATTATCTCCAGTTTTGCTGTCATGTTACAGCTCAATCATCTTTTGTGCAACAGTAGGCTGCTTACTTTATGGCTGACATGAAAATCTGCACTACTGGCCCCCATGTGAGTGTATTACAGGTTCCCTCTGGAGTTTTTGATCATCTCTGGTTCCTTAAAGTAAAGTTTTGATTCGTTGGTTCCTGAATTGTTTCCGTTTTGCAAAAGGACATACATGCACTTCTCTAGCATGCTGACAGATAAAGAGTTTAAAAGAGGTTAGTTGGTTAGCTATTTAGTTAGTTAGATGATGTTTTTCATTTTAAAAACAATACCCTGTTCTAGTGTCACTGTGTTTAGTGACATGTAGCCTACTTTAAAGAAAACAGATCATCAATTTATCGAGAACAAACATAAATCTCAAACAATAAAGCTATTCGGTAGAGCAGCAGATCTCTCATCAAATCACTGTGTCTACAGAGACTTTAAGAGAAGTAAAGCTAACGTCACTGGTGACACGGGAAGGTGCTGATGGTTTGCAGCTGACCTCAACACAAATGCACCTTCAGCTGCCTTCGTCAAATACTGATTAAATGAACCCCTCATAGCTTTAAATGTGATTAGATTATCGCTTTTCTTTTCATTATTATAACAATGACATATGTTGCCCTTTGTTACTCTGCGTGCTACGATAGCCTGTTAGCAAACGTTACACCCTGCTAAACACAAAATACAACAGGCCACATGTTGAAATATTTCTACGTCGGTTATATTCACCGTTATGTCGTCGTTTTTAAGTCAAGCGTAGAGGCTCAAATGCAGATAATTTGATACGATACCTTTGATGTTTCTCAGCCAACAGAGAATGACTGAGCCCTCTGTGTTTTTGGCAGCTTGTAGAAAGCCGAAGAACATGTGACACTTCGTCACGTGACTAGAGAGCTGGGCGTGATTCTGTTTGTCTGAAATTGTGGGTATTGTAGTCAGTCCTCTGTGTTTAGGGGCTCAAGGAAAAAGTACAAACACAACTTTTTCAAAATACTCCAGTTTTTGAAAAAAAAAATCCTATTTAAGTAAAATTATGCATCAGTGAATTGGCAGCATTTCCACTGTTGTAGCTGTTTGAGGTAGAGCTGATTTTTATTCACCATTTTATTTAATTTCATTTAAAGGGCTGCAGCTGATAATGCTTTTCATTTTTGTTTAATCTGCTGAGTGTTCTCGATTAATCAATTGATTGCTCATTATTATTGTAAATAGATTTATAATAACAAAAATAATTAAAAGGAAATGCAGCAAATCTTCACATTTTAAAAACTGGAGCCAAAGTGTTGCCAGTTTTGTAAACAATTACCTAATTAATTATCAGAACAGTTGTCCAAAAATTTTCTGTCAATCCGAAAGTTTTAGCTTTACTTTATATACTGTTAGATAGTTTAATTTATAATAAAGTATCATGTGCTATAAGTTGTTTTGTTTGCAAAAGTCTTAATTTAACTAGTAAAAGTGCAATATTTCTCTCTGAAATGTTGTGGAGTAGAATTAAAAAATGGCATGAAAAGAAAAAAATCAAGTACTTCAAATTTCAGCACAACTACAGTACTTCAGGAAATGTACTTTGTTACATTCCACCACTTTTAATTTTATAGGTGAAGATACAATTAGTGAAATGTGAGAATCACCAACTCAATGCTGCGTTGAAACAAGTGGAACTTTCCACAGGGCCCCTGAAGACCCAGATTCACTGTATGTAAACCATATTGTGGTGGATTGCACCTCCATGTAGGAATGTGCCAAGATAAACTGAAATGATTACAGCCTTGAAACCAGCCCTCTTTTGTAGAGTGGCCATGTGTCAGATTCCAAGGGCCGACAGCTCAGTATTGCCCTGAGGAAACTGTCGATGCTTCATTATACGTAGCTTTTTTTAAGATGTCTCTCCTTATCTTCATGTAGACCCACAGTTTTACATATTATAATGTATAATAACGCATCCATCGGAATAAGCAAGACGCAGGCACATAAGAACGGAAAGGTGGGTAAACTAATGGTTAACTGATCAGATCAGGAAGAGAAAAAAACAACACACAAACATTAGAGTAGATCATTCCTCTATAATAATTTATTTTTTGTTCAATAAGGTACATGACCAGTGATCCATTATTTCTTGACAGAATGCAAAAAATGGAGGCGAAGTGCCAGAAGTTTCAGAAGTATGAGTAGACTGGGGTGAAACCCCACATTCCTAGATGCCATCTGTGCCTTACAGTTATAATGATGAACAGATTGACACACTGAAAGATGATGTCTGAGTGAATGAGTAGCAAGTGCATATTTTTTTCATTAACTGTCCAGTGTTCACCCCATTCAGGTCCCCATCTTCTATTTATTAACAAGAGAGACATTTGTACAGCGAAACAATACAAAGCCTTTATGATAAAAATCAAAAATGGAGCATTGGATTTGGGGCCATGGTGGAATATGAAAAAAAGGTGGAATTCATTCAACATGTATTGATTGCGTCTTTGTACTTTGTAGTTTAGCTCTTTGGGCTTGTGTACTTTTTTGTAAGGGGGTTAAAAGGACTGACTGAGAGACTGCTGCCCTGCGACCAACGAGAAAAAAAAAAAAAAAAAAAAAAAAGATTTACAAATACTCCTACCAGAAAAGTACTGAATACAAGGGAGATAGGTGACAGACAGAGATAAGGAGACTAAATTACCAGATGATTGATTAGTTCAGATGAACAACCACAGATTAGGCTGATAGTGAATTGATTAACTGGTTGACAAATGCCTGTTAATACAGTGAAGTCAGATGGTAAAAACAGCCAGTGCCAGCCTAATCTTGAAACAAACAGTGCCTTACAGCTTATAAAGTGCTACAACTTAACCTTTAAAATTAAGAAAAACTTCTACAAAGCAACAGAGATCTCACCTTGCACGTAAAACTAATGCCCAGCCTAACATCACCCCTGTGTTAGTTCCTTGATGTTTTATAGTGAGTGGGCCCATAGCAGATAAACAGCACACATTATGGGGACACTAATGCACATCCAACAGTTGATTCCACATAATAAATAACCAAAAATGAGACATCAGCTAAGTCAGTAGAGGGAGAAATTATGTCTTTTATAATTTGGCAGGGGAGCCTGGTCAATGAAATGTTTTAAAAAAAGAGCACAGCAGCAACCACCCGAACTGGGACAAAGTTGAAGTCATGATGAAATCCAATCAAGAAAAAGTCTAACTAAACACTGAGCTCTTTTCTAAAGGTGGAATGGAGCAGACAGAGAATAAGTGACACATAAAGCTCCTCATTAACACTGCTGCTTTGATTTTGTAGCTCTCCCAGCAGGATCCACTCTACTTGGTAACTGTGTGGATCCCCTGTGCCAGGTAGCCTACGTTTCCAGAGGACACGCCTGCCATGGAAATTCTGCCATCCTTGGTCATGTACACGGAAAACTCCTTTGACAAGCGCTCAACCTGCAGGAAAATACATGAACACACAACAAATCCACATGTCAGTATTTCAGCAACAAACATTCCCACAGAGATTTGTTAGAGAGACCAGTAAAAAGACACTATAACAGTTAGGATGAAAGCACAAACAAGTTTCACAGTTGTTTAGGGCCAAGGTGGTTCAATGATTTATTCAAAAACAGGATGTTCAATACGGGCCTATAAATAATCTGAGAGACGTGTTGACTGTTTCCAGAAGATCTGATGTAAATACTAACTGAAGGAAGTCATTTATTCTCCAGCATGCAGTTTTGTTGTTGCTTTGATCAATGTGTCATTTGAGAAACATGAATCAAATTATTTCAGTCATCACTTCACTTTGTGAAACCTGACTCCGATGACTAACTTTTTATTTGTATACACTCTGAGTGTGAGATACGGACTCCAAGAGAACAGAGTGTTTCCCTGTATCATAACATTTTAAAAATAATAGCTTTTCACTGCCATTTACAGTAAACAGCTGATCAAAAAAAGAACACAAACTCTACGGCAAACATGTCACAGATTAACAGTACTGTGTAAGAGGATAAAAAAGGCATGTGATTAAATTAAAATCAAATTTACAATTTATTTAGACATATATTTAGATGTTAGAGCTGCTCTAGGGGACAATTTTAAACACTGATTTGTAACAGTGCAAGCAAAATGAGTGAATTCCCTTTTGAGATGGATTTTCAATTAATCATCAGAGGAAGGGCATTAAGATTCAGCCAGGCTACCGTGCTAAATTTACCTTTAAAAAGGAAAAAGCTGCTGGGTTTTTATTTTCTTTGTTTGAAATACTATTTCAAAGTGATGGGCATTTTGGGAAGGATTTTCACTTTCTGCTGGACAGTTTGATGAAAAGACAGATACCACTCTCATTTCTGTACAGTAATTTCTGAATACAGTAAATCTTGTTTGTTATCATATCTTGGTCTGTACAGTGAACAATTTGCCATTTCCCAGGGACAAGTGCCAGAGTATTAGTTGCTTGATTGTTTTTTCTTTGCACTGGTGTCGTTTCTTCATGTCACTGTCATTGTTTTTTTTCTTAAGGCGTACAGTTCGTCTTGTGTTGGTTGTGTGTTCTTTGTTGTGTATTTGTGTTTTTTTAATGTCTACTCGATGTGCCTTTTAAATTGCCCCCTCGGGACAAATAAAGTTTAATGAATTGAATTGAATTGTTGCATGGCATCATTTCATAAAGTTGGTTAAATTTAAGAATTGAACAATTAGTGTCTGTCGCTCTCTACTGTGAACTGTCAAAGCCAAAAATGTGTGTGATTACCTGTTCGGGTTTGAGGCCTGTGAAGCAGAACATCCCGATCTGGTCGATGACGTGTTGCCAGTTGTGGCTGGAGCCCTCCTTTTTCAGGCCGGCCACCAGCTGTTCTCTCATCTTAATGATGCGGTTAGCCATACCGTGGACCTCCTCCAGCCTGTGATGAATGACGGCAGGGTAGGACAGATCAAGACATAGATCTTGGAATATATCTTAACCAGTTTGGAGCATATGAAAGATTAAGTGTTTTAACAAACCTCCAAACTACACTTCTGGTTCAGGATGTATGGATATATTGATCTATTGATCTATAAGCACATACCACAGCGAGCGCAGATCAGGTGTGTTGAGAATGGTTGTTGCAATTCTGGCACCGTTCATTGGTGGGTTGGAGTAAATGGGCCTGATGAGGATTTTAAGCTGAGACTCCACTCTCTTTGCCTCATCTGTGTCTTTACACACCACAGTGAAGCCTCCCACACGCTCACCTGTGAATATCAACATACACACTGACTGTTAAACAAAGTGATTCACAGTGAGTCGGACCAACTCAAACTGTTAATCCACTAAGACTCACAACTCAAGTTCAGTGATATAAAAAATTTAAAAGATATATTCTGAGTAAACACCACATAAGGAACTGTGCCGGTGAACGTAACTAATATATCTCACATTTCAGTACAATTATATTTGTGCTTAGAAAGTCTAAATGTTTATTTCAATAGAACATGTTTTGCTATCACAGTTTTACCACTGGGTGGTGATAAAACACACCTATTCAGTAAAAGGTTTTTCATTCAGTTTTTCTATTTTACAAGTACTGTTATCTACATATCACCTTTATTACTTTATATTTAAGAACAGCATGTATTGGATTCTGACTGACCATAAAGTCCCATGTTTTTGGCAAAGGACTGGGACAGGACGATGTTGTGGCCCTGTTCAATGAAGTAGCGCACAGCCCAGGCATCACGGTCGATGTCTCCACTGGCAAAGCCCTGATAGGCCATGTCGAAGAACACGAGCAGATTCCTTTTCTGTGAGGTGAGAAAGAAAGGGGGAGAAGAAAGGAGAAGAAGAAAGACACAGACAACAACAACCAGTTAATAATTTTTCAACTGATAACAGCTAATACAGTGCTTATAATCTTATTATTGTGGCTTTTGAACTCTGAAAGATCTTTTGATTTTGAGATAAAATGTGTACTCACATTTTTATCAAACTGCAGCTGGAAAGATTTCACAGACCTCTCTTGAGATGATGCGTACTCACCTTCACAATGTCAGCGATCTCCTTCCACTGCTCAGGCCTGGGGTCCACACCGGTGGGGTTGTGGGCACAAGCATGCAACAAGATCACACTCTGCTCTGGGATTTTCTGTGACATTAAAGGAGGTTTTGGTTAGTCAACCTACAATATTGTGTATAGCACAATGTTGATGACAGTTTTCACTGCCACACCAGCTGCAAGACATATAACTCATTACATTAATAACTGTAACCAGCTGCTTTTTACACGCTGGGCGGCCTTGTTGAAAACCCTCACCGCCCAACCTTACTGCTCAACACCTCAATTCCTAATAAGACTACAAACTAACCACAATTCTACAAAATAATCAAAAATAATAAAATACACATTAATGGAATTACAATTTCAGAGCATGAAAAGATGCCAAAATATCATTGTGAGTGTCCCTCATTAATGTCTTACAGAGATGTCTTCGAGAGCTCCTTTGAAGTCAAAGCCACAGGTGGAGGGGTCGTAGTATCGGTATGCTTTGAGCTGCATGCCAGCGTCTCTGAAGATGGGTGTGTGGTTTCCCCAGGACGGCTTGGGCAGATACACATCACGTGAGCCTCCGTGGAATCGAGACTGTGACAAAGGAAAGACCTGATGAATAATCTGACCCTAATATAAGTTTGTGCTAAAAGATCAATAGAACAAGATCTCACCAAAAAGTTGGCTCCAATACGCAGAGATCCAGTTCCTGAGATGGTTTGGACAGTGATGTTCTGTTGGGAGAAGAGAGTTGGACTTAAAACTGTCAGAAATGTCTTGAGCTTCATTTAGTTTGAAGTAATTAACACCCAAACTTACTCTGCCACTCTTCAAAACCTCACTATCAGCACCAAGAGCCAGCTGGGCACAGGCCTTGGTAAACTCTCCCAGACCACCGATGGGAAGGTACTCCTTATCCAGCTGTTTGGCTGCAATCACAGCCTCTGCCTAGAAGGAAAGTGTAAAAATCAAAAAGTATAAAACACAACTAAAGCAATTTCCTTGACTGGTATTCCCTACTTTTTACATAAAACATCTATGATTTAGTTAGTTAGCATTTTGTTAGGTTCAAAATAAATGCATACACTTTCTCATGGTGACAATGCAAAACAAGAAATTCTCCTAATTATTAACATGTGTTTAACCCACAAATACACTGAATGCTAATGGGTTCAGACATGCTGATGTTCCACAGAGCTTCGGAAGCTGAGCTCAGGATGACGAAGAAAGAATGCGCCAATGAGAAACACCCTGAGCAGCAACAACCTTTAACCCTTCTGACACTAGGTGAAAATATAAACCTTTAAACTCTTGAGTGACCCTGAGTGACCCCTCCATTTTCCAAAAAAAACTTCCAAGGAGGCAACACAGTCTAATAGTGAAGTACTGTGGTTCTCTTTGAAATCACTGTGATAAGAATTTAAGAATCAATGATATGACAGCTTTCCTCTCCCGGGTAGAACTTAGACATATCTGAATTGTATGGATCAAATCACTGTCTGTATATGTGTGTGTGTGTGTGTGTGTGTGTGTGTGTGTGTGTGTGTGTGTGTGTGTGTAACACTAGAGTATTCCTGGAGGGCTGGGCGAGTTCTACCTTGCGGACACAGCTGAGCACAAAGGGCTTGCCCTGGTCATCCCTGTAGGCTCCCACTCCCAGGTTCATCTTCTTGGGGTTGGTGTCCTTCTTGAAGGCCTCGGTCACCCCCAAGATGGGATCGGGGGGACCCATCTGCACTCCACCCCACCATGAGCTGCAAAGACACCAAAGCAGGTGAATAATGATTTGGACAGGAGTACAAACAAGAGAGTCAAGAATTAATTGATAAGAATTGATCTGTGTGCGCTGCCCTGAAGAACAACTATGCTGCTTCTTATGTTTTCATGGCCTTAAATGACAGTAGCCACACTAATGTTACGTCTGTATCAGCCATGCTCCTGTGACACGCTGTGGACCTAATGCTCGAGCTTAATTCCTCATGTGACCTGAGGATACCACGCTGACGTAGATCTCATGAGCAACACATGCTCAGTGGACACAAGTTTCATGAAACAAACATTATAATCCATTCAGGAGGTCCAGAGTCCAACAACAAGAGTAATCTGGGCCTTCAACACACTGTTACAGAAATCATTCCCACACTCACTCAGTCACTACGCCCGACATAAGTTTGGAGTAGGGTACTCGATCGTGAGAAAATGTGAATATCATTCATATCATTATGAAAAGCATGCTAATTCTAAATTTACATTTACTCATTTGGCAGACGCTTTTATCCAAAGCAACTTACATGTGGAGGACATCAGTAAGCTTCAGTGCAATAGGAACCTATAGTGTAAATATTAAGTACTACATCTATTTATAAGTGCTATCTTATGTTATCTTCACTTGTGTTTTTTTCCCACCACGTTGGTTCAATTAATATTTGTCTAGTGTTACAATACTGCTAACTGATTAATCATTACCTTATATAAATGGGGACTTCTACATTTTTATTACAGGATCTAAATGGAATATCATATCATCCTTGTCTTTAAGCAGTCTTTAAACGTCTGGTATTTTGAAGGCTCCTCTATGCTAAAAAAAAAAAAAGTATGATTTAGTTTGTTCAGTGTTAAGCAAATAATGTTATTAATGAACAAACCAAACCATCCATAACATGTATAATTTTGGAAATTACTGATCTATCAAAATAGAAATATCTCTTGTAAGACTGAGGTAATACCGGCACAAAAGACAAATGTAAGTAAAAGGCAGAAGAGTAAGTAGACCAGGATTAAAAGCAGCAAACATGAGCTCCATATCAAATCTAAAAAGGTCATGCACTCTGACCTCTTGACCTCAGCTGGACAGTCCACAGCTTATCATGCACATGACAGTGTTGCAGCCAGTGTAAATGGATTAGAACCCCTTAGGATTTGTTATGGACATCATACCACAGAAGGATAGATGTAGGCCTACACTGTCAGGCTTTATAGAAAGTAAGAAATCCAGTTCAGATTGAGTGAATGGTTTTCAAAATACTTGAGACTTTTCTTTCTCACTGAATGTGTAGACACTCGCGCAGGTGTCAGATCCAACTCAAAAAACCTGTACAGGATCACAGACCAAAAAATAACACTGCTCATAAATAAACCAATAAACCCAAACACTGGATCAGAATATATTCTGAGTCATATATCTATTCCCAACACTCACTTTCACTATGATATATCTATATCTATCATAACTGATTATATCTTAAAAAATGCTTCTTAAGCAAACGAAACTCGATGTGAGTGGAAAGGGGATGACCAGGCAAAGAAAAATCCAAAACTTGGCATGTGGACATCAGCCAGCTCCAAGATGTTTCAGGTGCTGTCTTTCTCAGTATGGGCATGACTCATCTGTGCATGATGTGTGTTGTGCATTAAAAAGTAAAGTAGCAGAATATGAAATCAGATTACATCTACCTTGTGATATCCAGTGCAACTACCACTCAAAATGAAAGTGTCTGCTCAGTAATACAGCACAATTCCAATGTGTAGGCAGATAAAATGAAAGACATGCATACAGAAATGAATACAAGTGTATGGTGAAAAAAACTATAGCCTACATTTCATCACTAGATACCACTTGTGTGTATGTGTTAAAGGCCTATAAAATCAGTGCATTGCTGACTGCTTTTGGATATACCGTGTTATTATGGGGTGCTAATAATATAATAATTGTCTTGTAGCTGGAACATTTCAGACTTTAGACATTAATAAAATAAATATGTTGTGTTACACATCTGCTTGATTAATGCAGATTGTTGTGTGTCGCGACCTTCACTGCACTGCTCCTCACATATCATCTCAGGTTTCTTCTATTTTGTAGACCCTTAACTTTGAAGCTAAATTTAGGACTGAATGCTTTGCAAAGGGTAAGAGTCTCCTATCCCCTACTGATAACTTTAAATAAGATCACGCTTGTTTATTTAGTAGTGACTACAGTTCACTGCCAAACATATGTTTACCGCATGAACAAAACAGTTCACACTATTTGCAGTTAACAGGTCGGTTCAGTTCAGTTCAGCTCAGATCAATTGCTAAGTTGACTACAATTGGGCATTTGATCCTAAAGCTCCTACAGGGTGTAGACAACACAGTCTAAGAAATAGGAGTTGCAACTCCCTCTATGTCATTCTGATGACATAGAGGGAGTTGTTGCAAACTTTTAAAGTAAGATTAGATAAGATTTCCTGATTTTCGTTGCCCAAGTAGAGTGAAGTATTGTAAGCAGCTATCTGTGAGTAGACTTAACAAAGACTGTACAGTGGGGTCCAAAAGTGTGAGACCACATTGCCATTTAAGTGAATGGTTAAGTGGTCTCACACTTTGGGACCCCATTGTATGTACAGTATGTAGATATATAAAGAACATAAATAAGGCAATTAAATAAACGCGTCTGTGCAAACAGAAGAGGTTGCAGTTATTTTACACCATGTAGAATTGTACAATTGAGAATCACAACAGCAGAAATGCTAAGGGTAAAGTAAGGGAACATTTGGGTTCAAGTGGTCTCATTATATCTGCATTGTGCATGCACACAGAACCTTTGAACAACTGGACTTCAGCATTTACATAAACATCAGTGACTGACGAGTTATCAGTGATCAATAGACCAAAGGCCTTTTTGGTAAGTTACAGGGGAGGGCTGCTGGGCTTACAATGGTGCTCCTTCTCTACCAACTGCTTTAGTGTCTGGTTACAGGCGGTGGGGAAAAAAACCCTATTGTCATTCATGTATTCTTGAAGCAGACCAGCGTGCTTGAACATGAGACGACAAGATGAGTCAATATGCAAAAACTGAAACACGCCCTCACAGACAGCAATGCGATATGAGAGCAAAACGAAACCTAACGTTACACCTGAGAACCATGTATGTATTCTTAGTCTTATGATACTGCCATGCTGCGAACACAGGGGCAAAGCAAGGACCAGGTACAGAAACACGACCAAGAATATCCGAATAAACTGTCTACATGAACAGAAGCTACAAATGAAATGTTTTGGGAAGATAAAGGCGCAGCGACTGACCAAAACTAGTTTGTCCTCCAAGGGAGGCAGAAAGGACATCGGCGCCTGTCTCATCCTCGCCGCTAGAAATGAGCCAATCAGCTATCAAAGGCGGAATGCAACAGCCAATCAGCTTGCACGACTTGTCCCAACTACGACAAGTCGCTTAGCTCAAACTGTGCGTCGGATCTGAAAACTGAATCCATCGCGATCGTGTAAATCCTAAAAGAAATTAGCCCTTAAATCTACAGTAAAGCAGAATTGCAACAATCCAAAACGACATATTTTTATGAACTAATTATTCCTAATGCACCAAACCGAGCCAGGCTGTTATTTTCTCTTACATGTAGGTGACTGCTACACAGGAACTTGTGCTACTGACACATCACAACGTGACTTTCATCACTAGCGCACTTCGTGATAGCATCGCCAAGTTACCCTCTAAGGTCAGCTTTAGTGCTCACCAGAGAGGATGTCTGGGGCAGCAGGTGCTGACCTGAGGGGCTACAGAGTCATAAAACGTTTTGACACAGGAGCTAACCTCACACAGCACTTGGGCCCCGTTGAAACCGTTTGACCCCTGTATATGGTAGCTAGCTAGCTAGTATGGCTAAATTAATCACGGAGAAGTGAAGCTCAAACACAAATCCTATGACTGACGGAACCGTAGGTGTTAACGTTAACATAACGACTTCTCTGCCGGTCAAGCTAGCTGCAAAACTAACGTGGCAGGTCGCTGCTAAATTACTGAGACAGCTGTGTTTAAACGTCTTTCCGCTCGGTATAAGTGTATTTCTGGTTTACCTGTGGCGGGTGGACAAAACTCCCAGGGACGGGGAGATGTTCCCGAGACAGTAGATCACCTTGTTTGACTTAAGCAGGGCCATTGCAATGCTGCACTTGGGAGTCGAGCCTGGTAGGATGTGGACGGATGTGAAGGGCAGGGATGACTACGACACTACGCTCCGTGTACGTGCTGACGTCAGAGCAGCAAACGGTGCCGACGCCTGCTGAGATTATAATCTGTTTGTGGTGTGTGGAGAGCAGCACGCATAACTCCAATCCATCAATGCTGGAAGAAGTTGTTTTTTCTTACTAACGTAGAAGCTGCAGTATGTCAGTGTGTAACGGCCGTAGTTGTACAAGTCATGCATTCAATTACTGAAGTACTACTCAGATAGGGTACTAAAGAATAATCCGTTTTAGCATCAAAATGTATTTAAAACAAATGTAGCGACACTCATTGCGTAGATTGGCTCGTTTTTGGATAATGTATATAGGAATGTAATTATTGATGCATTCACGTGTACATCACTTCAATGTTAATATTAATATGCTGATGGGTGGATTGTGAATTTCCCCCTGGGGATCAATAAACTCTTAAATTAACCTTTAATAATAAATAATTCCTGGCTAGCTGTGAGCATTGTGCACCTCTCTCTGTTGAAGACTCGCTGACGCAGGCTGGTGCACCAAGCCAGTCTGTCAGCAGCAGAGCCTATGAAAGGGGAAGCCATTCCCAGATTGCAAGAGTCAGTGGAGGGCACCAAGAAACACCACCCCAAAACCACACCACCACTCCACCATCTTGATGTCGCTGCCCTGCTATTCAGTACCGATGAGGACAAGGCCAGCCTGATGGCAGAGCACAGACATCATGGAGGATGACTCCAACTCAGTGGACAAGTCCATTAGCCTTTGTTCTGAAGAAGACGAGGAGAACATTGAGCCCTTCACCAATCTACCGGCTGCAAAGAGTTCAGTCTTCATGTGAAAATGTCAGAGAGACCAGCTGAGATCTGCACAAAGACCATGGGGTCGTCTGGTGGGAATGAGGGGATCGTCTGCTTAGCAATGATATGACAAACTATGCAAGCAGATAATTGGACCCAAGGTGGTGGCATACATTGCAAAAAGTGAGCCCAGTAACGATCCTTGGGGCACTACTGTTGGGAAGGGATGGGATAAGAACATTTGTCCTTGCCGTGACACACTGAAGGAGTGCCCGGTGAGATAGGATTCAAATGTGAAGGAGGCAAAGATATAGGCTGAGAGGTTTGTGTCAGGTGAGGGTGCTGGATGATTAAGTAGAGGTCAGCAGGGTCACTGGGTTTGTGCCATTTTCTCTCAGTAGCTCTGAGATTGGTATGCAGCTTTCAGATGGTGTCGGTCAACCATGGGTGACACAGGTCAGAGCGGGCAGGGTTGGTGGATAGAGGACACAGGCTATCCAGGCATGAGGTTAGAGTAGAGCAGAGAGACTCAGTGGCATCACTGACCTCATTGAAAATGTGCTAATAGGTGGGAGATTGAAGACAACCACTGAGGAAAAGTTAGCAGAAGAATGTAATTCATTAGAATCATCCTGATCCACAGTCCATTTCAGAAGATGGTGACAATGCACCTAAAAGCTGTTTGCTGGCCATGCAAAACAACCAATGGCAGATTAAGATACAGGCGACATGGGCGGCACCTTGTAAGGGGCAGAAAGGGCACTTGCAAAATTAAAAAATTAAAAAAAAAAAGATACATTTGCAATTCATGTCACCATGTGGATCAGGGCAGGCGCCCTGATAAGAGTGGAACTGATCAACACAACCTTTACATTTATAGTTACTTCTTTATGGGATCATTTTTGATTGCAGAAATAATTCCTCTTTCCAGCAGTAGTATTCTGCAGTTACTCAATATGTCCAGCTGAGGACAGTATTACACAATAAACAGTGCATCATCTTTCGAGCTGCAGCTATATTGCATTATTTGTATGTGAATCTGCCAGTAGTCTTGGCGCAGGGCATCATGGAGACTTTTCTAGTCACTGTGATAATTATCTTATGCCAAGATGACATTACTCCTGCATCCAGGTCATATTTAATACATTTATCTGTGGCCATGTTGGCTTTTACTGGACACAGAAAATTAAATGATAACTTGTGCCTGACCAATTACAAAAAAGTGTGTTATTTTCAACTGGAGGACAATTACGACCAAACATCACTGGTTTACTTTTTCTGTCCACCCGAGCACCGCACCTCCAGCCTCCCACCAGGAGGAGACCTTCTCTACATTTAACTCACTCCACACTTTGTGTGGAGGAAATATGGCTATTTCCAAGAAACCCATTATATGAGAGAGAATTCACTCACACACCCAATGTCAAAAAACAATAATTTGAGGAGCAGAGATGAGGAAAAATTTAGCTTTTACAGTTTCCATTTTTTATTCAGTTGCAATGTGTAGTGTTTTTACCTTTGTTTCTTGTCAGTATAGGTTAGCTGTATGGTTTAACTCAGTTTATCTCAGTATTTGCACTATATGCATGTCTGTATGTATAAGATAAAGTTATTATAAACATGATCTAAATCTTAAAGTATTTCTCTAACTAATCCTAACCACATAACCACACTGAAATCATTCTCCATTTGTCTTTAAACCACAGAAACTAATGACAGTTTAATATCTCATGATGAAGAGAAGTAAGAGCTTGAGGAAAGAAGCATTAAAATGAAAGCAGCAGAAAAAGAATAATGGAAAAACTGATAAGAGAGAATTAGCGACTATAATGTTGAGTGAATGTGTATGTTTGATTTAACAGGAATTATTGATGCAAAGTAAAGAGTCAAAGAAAATAGGGCAAAGTTTAAGCAATAGTGAATGCCCCAATAAATCATATTTTTTACAATGAGAGTGATCTGAGGATGAATATTGTGACTTTAAAAGCCTAACTCATGTGTCATAGTAGGGAATGTTAGTGAGCTGTGTCCACTAGCCTGTGTGTGCGTGTGTGTGTGTGTGTGTGTGTGTGTGTGTGTGTGTGTGTGTGTGTGTGTGTGTGTGTGTGTGTGTGTGTGTGTGTGTGT